CCCACCCACAGCTCCTTTCAAAGGGCCAGGGCTGGGGCAGGCACTGCACAGAGCTGCTGTGCTGCAGGCTCCCAGCTGGCTCGGCCCTGAGCACCAGCTGTGGCAGCTGTTTCCAGAGCCTGTGGCTGCAGCTCCCACTCACACTGTACCCAGCAGGCACAGAGACCAGGCAGGGAGCTCCCAGGCAGCGTCCTGCCCAAGCCAGGCAGTGTCCCTTCATGGGCAGGGTGGCTGTGCCCTACCCCCACAGAGCTGTGCAGGCTGGCTGGGCCCCACCTCCCATGTTGCTGGCCCCTCACTGTGGCCCGAGTAGCAGAGCCCTGGGGCAGCCCCCGCTCCCCGCCTGACACCAGCTCTCTATTGAATGTTGCTTTTTTGTATGTTTTTTTTTACAGTAATGATTATTAATAGTATTAAATATGCAGTGCATCCTGCCATGTACCCCCTCTGCCCCAGTTTTGTTTTTGTGGCATGCCAGCACTCCGACACCTTACAAAGTAAACATTGTGGTTTTTTTCGGCACTCTGGCCAAAAAACATTGCCTACCCCTCCTCTATACAATTTTAATTTTAAAAAGGTGGAAAAAGCTTTCAATAAAATTGAAAAAATAAGAATGGTGTGACTTGTGCAGGGTTATCTCTGAGTCTGCAGGGACTGTATGAAGTGTCCCTTTAGTAGGTACTAATGCAGGTGTTTCTTGATAGTAGTTAACAAGGATTTTACCTTGCTCACTCACACTTATAGGATTTTGTTGCTTAATTTAAGAGTTCAGTGAATAGATCTGTACAGTATATTATAATGTTTTATTTTGGTGCCACAAATGGTTGATGTTTGGGTGAACCGCCCCCGCCCCAGAATTCTGGGGAAATAGTAATAGTATTTACAAGTACTACCCTGCTGCAGAGTAAATTAGTTTACTCCAGCCTAATAGGGGCACACGTATAAACAACAAGATCTTACTGAGCAGCTAATTAGTCAACTGTGCAGTAAACGTTTCATGTAGATGTGCCCAGTTTTACCACAAATGCTTTTATATTTAGATCATAACCTAGAAAGATATAAATGACATTAAAAAATAGCATGCAGTAATCTTTCTTATCTTAGAACTGTACAGTATCTCTAAAGTAAAATTGAAGAAAGGCCTTGTTCGTCATAAGTATTTGTGAATGTTTATAAATTTCAGTTTAGTTAATTGAGGCTATACCTTTTTGACCTCCTTTTGCCTTCTTTTTCACAATTGCTTTTTCACAATTGCTGAAGGAAAGAGTTTTTTGGTCTGCTTGGTGGTTTGTGGATTTGATTCCCCACAGTTTAATGGGAACTGGTTGTAAGCATTTTCATTTTCCAGCTGGATTTCTTTTGAACATTGATTTCGCCACACTGCCTCCCCATCCCACCCCAAATAAGATGGCAGTGCTCTTCTTGGGTATAGATATTACCCCCTGGCAATATCTTCAAAACAGTAAGTAATAGTGAAGCATATCTTTGTCAAGGCTTTTGCTTCATTGCTTTCTGGTTGCTATGACTTTGTGGTAGTGGCTATCAGATAAAGTAGGTACCTTGAACTCTAATAAATGGAGGAAAAAGACAACTCTAGCTGTTTGAAGAACTCTCATAAAATGTGTTTCTAATAAGATGCATATAATAGACAATACTGGAGGGATTTGTTCATCATCACAGACCTTCAGAACTGAGTTTCCACAGTGATTAACTGAAGCACATAGACAAAAAGAGGCATTTATGATTGTATGTGATCCAGAGATAAGAGATATGCCACATCTGAAGCATCTGAAACAAGTAGCAATGGGGAATAGGAGCTTCTTGGTTTTTCAAGATAATTATACTTAATGGTCATCTAAAGACATTTAGGTAAAAAATACTTAATATGCAATTTGTAGAAGAAAAGGGACTTTTAACATTTGCTAACCTTTTCTGTATTTCTGTAATAAAAGATATCATACAACATTCAGATAATTTGTTATTTTGAATGACTGATTAAAAGGTTGAAAGGAGAAGTTACGTTATTCTATTTAAATCTGAGATATGTAAGTTACAGAAATCCAAAGTGGGTAGGTGTCTTGCAATGATCTACAGTAGTGTGCTTATTGTACTGCTTAATCAGCTCTCGTTTATCTGTAATTTAGAAATAGTATTCAACATTTTTCAGCTTAAAAATACACTCACATTTGGTGTACTAAAGGGGATACCCTCCTAGCTCACCCAAAATCTAGGGATATGTGTATGTGACTATAATAAAAACATGTATTTAAAATTTTAAGTCAGAAAAGTCAAGCACTAAAAATATAGGCAATACCAAAATTAAGATTATTTAAGCCAATTTCATATTTTTCCTCTCCTGCTTTGACATATCCCATCTTCAGTAGTAGATAGTGATGGTTGTGTATTATGAAGTGACCTGCAGTGTTGAATAGGGACCTTCTTACTGGTCTAGAGTTGATTTTTAAAATCTTTTAAATATTTTTGGGACACAGATTCCATTGGGTCTTTTAAGTTTGGTAACTACAGTAAAAGCTTTGTTCTCTGGCATGAGTGGGATAGGAGGGGTACAGGTAATCTAAAAATTCCAGTTATCTGAGAGTTATACTTATCAAGGAAGGCAGGAGCACAGTGCAGCCACCCTCACCGGGAAGAGCCCGGCACTGACCTGGCTCCAGCCCGCAGTGGCAGCCCACCCTGCCCCGCTCAGATCCCTGAGTAATGTAAACAGCAGAAATACTTGATGCGCATGCCGGACAGACTTGGCAACAATTCCGGTTGCTACAGTGAGGATTCGTATTGGGGGGATACTGGACATTCCGGTTAACAGAGTACATATTCTGGTTAGTAAAATGCCTGTTAACACAGCTTTTACTGTACTTTTGGAAATCTCACCCTTAGATAATAAACTTGCATTATATCATCTACAGATCAGAAACTAAAACTTACACTGTGAAGGATGGATGTTTTCTGCTGGATTAAAGATCCATTTATCATAATTTTATCAGCATTATAGGGCATCTATCCAGTAGTCAGGCTGGTGGACAGTAATTTAGTTTTCTATAAAATAAGGAACTTTAGTACATGTAGCTTTAACTGGTGTTTGATGTGGTCTCATGTAAAATCTTTTTAGGAAGATAAAAATAATGTTGCTTAGATAATATCATGGATGCCTGGGTAAAAAATGGAAAATGGAATGAGACATAAGCAGATAGAACAAATATCAGGTTGAGGAGAAATATTAGATGAGAACCCCTTAAACCAGATTGGATTTAAAAATTTAATTCATATGCAGGGGAAGTGCACATGATAGAGAGATAAACTACAGTGAAGTGATAATTTGAAATTAGGATGAATGGTTATGGGTGGGGGGAGGAAGAGATTATGGAAAGGATCTTGTGAATTAAGAAGAGAACACAGAATTCTGTTGGATGAGATTTAATTTAGATAAATTCAAGATAATATACATAACAACTTGATATTGATACCTAAAATGTGAGCATGCTAGTTAGAAAGTTGTAATGTGGAGAAGGATCCAGGCATGAGAGATACATTTACAGTGACCTTAACATCTTTGCAGTAGAACACAATTTAAAAAATATATATATTCGACTGGGATATATTGAAGCTGAAGATCCTAAGAAGAGAGAAGTACTTACACTTTTCCACATGTCTTTGGTAATGAGAGATTTCAGTACAGTGTGTATTTCTCATGATAGAGTAAATAATTGGTTATAAGTATAAAAAGTATAATGATATTAAACATATAATCTAGAAAGACAAATTAAAGGGATTTAATGTGTACAAAGGGATTAAACAGAGTACACACTCTGTTTAATGTAGACAGAGGTGGTTGTTGGTGTAACTAGGGAGTATAAACTAAAAACCTTAAACTAAAACAAAGAGGAAATAGTTTATAGTTTATTATGGTGTTTTTGTTATGTTGATGTATGGAACATCTCTCACATCTGCAGTATCATACGTCCATAGAACGAAATTACCAAATACACAGAATTGAATTGGGAATAACAAGAGAACAAGAACAGCAGTCATTAGAAAATCATTTGCTCATACTAAGGTTTTATTATGTAATGGAACAATTTGTCAAGTGAAGTTGCAGAGGCATCAACAGTAGATAAGACTGGAAGCAGGGGTTTAGTAGAACCAATCATTTTACACTACATTAGGGATATGGCATTTCAAAACCTAATTCCATAAATACAGAAATGAAGATGATCGTGTCCATATAGATGGGAAACCAACTCCATTGCTTACATAAAAAATGAAAATGTGAAAATAGAGCACAAGTGCCATCACAGATTTTATTCAGACTTTTTCACCTCTCTTGCCCAGTTTAGTTCACATAGAGGAGAAAATGGACATTTCTAATGTTTACAGAATATTATATTATGGTCAGGATGTCAAACAGTTTTGAGTAATGGTTTCAAATGCTTCATAATACATGTACAGTGAAGCATCTGTCATGTCCTGGGGACGTTCCTCTGGATTTCTTATAAACACAAGTAAGCAACCAAAGAATATGCATCCTTGAAAGACTCCATCCCCAAGTGTTGCACAGATCTCAGTACATGCTGGGGCAGAACACAGGAATTTAATGGGTGCTTTTGAATAAATTTGAATTAACTTAAATCCAAACACTAAAATACAGTTCTGTGCCTCCAATATGTCCCTCACTGACTTGAATTAAAATGTTCCCAATGAGGAACAATATAAAAAGCAGATAAGCCTGAGCTTTGAATTTCAAAAAAGGCACTTCCACTGAGATGTAGAATTTCTAAATACTAATCAGTTCTCACTAGACTGTGACTGGTGAAAATGAGGGACTTGTTACTTTTTCTTTTATGAGCAAAATGTTTTCACACAGCTGCACAGTAGTTATAATCTGCTTTTTTTCTTAGATTTGGGCTAACAATTTAAGCTTTAAATTTAACTCATCTTACTGCAAAATTAATAATTATTATTTCTCTCTTCTCCTCCTACAGTATGCTGTCTGGCTAGTCCTCTGGGTTACATGGAATGTGTTTGTTATCTGCTTCTACTTGGAGGCTGGGGATCTTTCAAAGGTAATTTACCATCTGATATGTCTAAGCCATCAGCACCGTGTTAACATGCCCCGCTTTAGAGGCTAAGACTCTGCAAGCTACTTATCCTCTTGGTATCATTTAAATTAGGATAGCATGATGTAAATTTTGAATATGTTACAAGTCTACATCCTAAACAATTACAGGTATCTCTATTTCAGAGAAAACAACAATAACAGTTATACTTTTTAAAGGAATAATCACTGTTTTCCCCCTTATAGCTCTGCCCTGCACATTTCATATTTATGAGAAAGCTTAATTAGAGATTTTATAAATACAAATGGAGACTTTCATAATTGCTGTCTCAAGAGTAAAGACACCTCTTTGGTACCATTTAGCTTGCTTAATACTTTGCTGGATTCTTTCCAGAGGTCTATACTTCACTGTAATGATTGTAAAACAAGGTGTCTTCCATTAATTTAAAGTGGAAACTGAGGTGCCAAGATATATTGCTTTCTGGAATTAACAGTGTTTTCATTCCCACATTTGTGTTGGAAATGTTATGGCTTGAGGCTTGCGTGTGCCAATCTATGATAAATGTTGGTTTCTTTATGCATGTCGTGATTATACGTGGAATTTCTGACACCCCAACTGATAGCACGTGTGATTGGTGTTTTTCATTGGCTCATGTAATTCCAAACAAATAGATCTAATTAAGCCCCTTTATCCCAGACTAATAACCATACTTTATACTGTGTGTTCCCATAGCAGTAAAATAGCAGGACAAAAAATAAACAGTAGGTAACTTACTGTTTCACGGAAATAATAAGCTTCATCTGCATTTGGGGTTTGAATTTTGCAGTACATGCTGAGTTATGCTTGTTGTGACTTTATTTCCTAAACATATACATGCTGAGAATCCTGCCTTTGTATATATTCCTGAAGTATCCCAGAAAACACTGCATTCTGTACTTGATCCAAGCTGTTTAGTTCTCCCTAGTGGTTATGCAGGGTTTAACCCAACTGAAAACTGCATGTGTAAAGCTTCACTTCTTGGAAGTGAATGGGTGGTCCTCCAACACTGAATTTTTGGGTATGTTTGCAGGGAAGCTAATAGTGATGGAGTCAGCTATGGTCCTGGCTGTACTAAATGAGAGTGGCATTCTGAAAGGCAAAGCTGAATGGATATCACTGAGCATGGGAGCCAGGTGGAGCATTTGAGATGAAGGCTTTTGGCTTGGCTCAGGGTAAGAGATGTGTGGGTCTGACCAACCTGATTTAGTGATATCTTCAGAACGTTTGCTGGCTACTGCTGCTAAGCCTCCAGTACATTCAGCGCCACCTGCTGCCCTTACTCAGAATCCAATGCAACAAGTGAAATCAAACTGAACCCACAAAAGTCTCACACATCTCACTGCAGAAGTGCCAGCTCTCAATTTCCCCTCAAAATGTAGGAAAGACTGAACAAAAGTCTTTTGGCTCTTCATGTGTACTGCTCTTCGAAATGTCACTTTGACATCAAGGGGACCATGATGTCTTTTTCTGAGAGGGAGGGTAACTGATTTTTAAGTGGAGTAGCTTGTTTTCTGATTTAGACAGGCCCAGTCTATTAAGAGCTTGGCAATGATGTAGTATATATAGAATAACAAAACCTGCTGAATACTATTTTTCATTTCATTACAACTGCCTTGCTTATTGATAAGGGCCCTTGCAAACATTAAAATTGTGCACAATTCAGGTTTTAATCATGCCATAAATTATAACAAACTACACCTGAAAACCTGCATAGCACAGCAGACCAGGCACAAAAATATTTCATGGCTATTGTAGAATATCTTTGTAACTTGTTGATATGGGACTTTAAATTGAACTTGCAGCATGTGTTTCAGACCTGGGGCTACCCCATGCTAATCCAACTCTTAGCTGAGTGTCTGGACCAGCATAAAGTAGATACAGTGTTTAAAAACTGTATACACAGGTTGGCTGAACATGAGTGTTAAAAAGCTGGAAGTGCAAGGAAATAGGGCCAGGGATAGCCACTCTGATCCTGGTTCCCAGTCTGCCAGGCTTGTAAATTGTAATATGTGCAGCCCAACTGGCCTGCACATGTGGTGATTTAAAAGCTGGGGTAGGGTTAGCGGGGCAGGAACCAGGGTTGGGAAGGCTCTCCCTGGGCCTGCTTCCTTGTGTATCTAGCTATAAATCATCATGCATGCAGCCCAGCTGGGTTGCTTCATGGTATTCAGACCTATGGTTACCTTTTGCCCATCTTGGCGCTCAGCTGAGCATTAGGATTGGGCTGTCCTGGAGTCTGGGACGAAGCTACCCCCTGGGAAGTGGACAGCTCTGGCCTCAGCAGTCATGCAGTTGGGGTCTGAAGAATTTTATGCCCAATCCTGAGCATCACATGTTTTGCTATGCATGTGTAGTATGGCAGGAGGTACAAGATTTGGGATGACACATACATCCCTCAGATCCCAATCATACTATTATTTTATTATCTGCCAGGGGCATGAACTGTAATGAACTCTGTAACAAGCCAGACATATTTGCAGCATCATATGCAAATTAGTATTTTATTTGATTCTGTCCCATTTCCACCTGTTCACTGTAGCATATTGTGGGCATGGGCTAGTTTCAGTGTAAATGAAAATGACTGGGGTGCTTAGTGTATATTGTATTGAGGAACATATATGTCTGTTTCTTTCCCTGCATTTTGATAGATATGATGTTGGTTAAGAACAACAGGAAAGTCCTGTCCTGAGTAGAGGTGGGCCTGAGTCTTCAGGTGTGGAGGTGTTTAGATCCAGGATTTTTTAGAACCAGGTTTTTGCAAGTAGTGCATAAACCTAAATGAATCAAAGTTATTTGGGTGCTTACGATTTTTTAAAGGATTCAGCGATTATATTCTGTACTTAAAATAGGGAATATTTAGTGTATCCCACTCACTTAAATTAATCATCAATCTATTTGTCTCAGCCTAGCAATGAGATTATCCCAAATGTACATTTACAGGCTACAAAGAGACGTAGCATTCATTCCAGGATAAATCTATGGAGCGGCTGATTCACTTTAATCCTAAAAGAATTTGGTGCTGAAAGCAACCTCTCTTTCTACAAAAAAATGTGGACATTGTTTCACACTGTGGGAGAACAGCTCCTGGCATTCTGAAAAACGTCGAACACGGAGACCTCGGGGACCCATCCCAGTGCACCAGGGAAGAACCAGTGGGCCCAGGTAAGAGCCAGTCATGCCTCTTGCCTCCCAGCAGAAGCTTTAGCAGCAATGGAAGAGCAGCAAAAGCTGTAGGTGCAGCAGTAGCCATGCTTTAGAAGCATGTGCTTGCTGTGCATAGACAAACCAGCTGGAAGTTCAGCATCAGCTGGACAGGAAGGCTGGTGCAGAAAGGAGACAGCCAACAGAAGGACCAGGGCTGCAGATAGTCTGAAGGTCTAGCGCCCTGCGGGCAATCTCTGCACCAGAGTGAGAGCACATGTGAAGCCCCGGCACTTGGAGGAGTGCCCAGCAAATGGTGCCCGGAGCTTGGAACAGCTGGCAGGGACTCACTGTGGCCAAGAGTGGCCAAGAGATGGACAGCTCTGAAGATAGAGAGGGTCCAGTATGACAGGGATCGGAGCCCAAACATGAATTAGAGGACCAGCAGGTCTAAGTGTTTTATGTTTTGTGTTATCATTTCTTTATCACTCCAGTTGGACCATTTGATGATGGGGAAAGACCTGTCCAGAGCAGACATGCTCACTGCCTAAATATGAGTTAAGAACTATATAAGAACTGGTAGAAGGGCCAAAGTAGAGGGTCAAGCCCTGAGACTTTAAAAGAACACTGAGACTTTGCGATGACCCTGACTGGGTATCAGATGTATGAAATTTATTTCTTTTCCCTGATTTACAATCAATCTTTTGCTTCAGGAACATATGGTTGACATGTGAAGGGGAGGCAGGAGCCCTGTGGGAAAGATCCATGGCCCCACAAGTGTAGCCCCAGTGACATCGGGAGCCTTTTGCTAATCCAGTAAGATCAAGATGTGGCGGGCAAGAACAGAAAGGTGGCTTGCTTGTGAGGTACATGTTCAGGCCAAGCTGCCTTCATCTAATGCCAAGTACATAGAGAGCTTGGGCTCTCACACCTGGCAGTATCAGATGCACCTGCGGCGTCAGATACAGAAACACATGTAGAAGTCAAACCTTCCAGAACATACTGGAAAAACTCATTCTTTTCATGACATGTTGGGTATATCTCCACATTAGCAAGGGGGTCGCACAATAGTTCTTTTTTAGCATAATGTCAGTTAGCTATTCTCCCAGATATTGCATTAGGCATTTTTTAGTTACTTACGTTTCGTCTAAGAATAAATATGACGTCAAGCCTGTAATGATACTTTGGGATATATCTGCTGTTAAGAAAAGCATGTGGAATCTTAAAAAGATGGAGCCCTGAATCAGCCCTAACTAGAGAATAAAAAATAACCTTTAGGGAAGTACCAGAGGGAAGCCTCCAAGGTTGTAAACCAGGAGAGAGAATCTTGCACAGCATGGTTTTAAGAATTGGAAGGTTAAAATTACAGCCTCATAATAGTCCAGCTGGGCATAGTTTATTTTTATGCATTTAATATATAGCTTTTTACAAAGTAGAATAAAATAGAAATGTTTTTGAAAGTTTGGAAACTGGCTTCTGTTTACTATCTTACGTTATCTATTTTGCTATCATCATCTAGTAATCTAAAGGAGACAACACATTTCAAGTTTTAATCTATCACATTAGAGGAATTTATTGACTTCATCCTTTTTTAAATTGGTTTGGGGGCCAGAGGTCATGACATTTTTACAACTGCTCCTTATTACAGTGAAAGAGCCTGTAAAGACACTAACTTTTCTAGAAGTATGAGATTATCACCTGTTTAAAAGAGTGAAAGAGCTGAGAAATTATTAGTGAAGAGCTGTGCACAGCTGTTCACATGATATGCCAACATGGGAATTGTACCCAGAATGAGGAATAGTGTCACAGTGAATATTGTGCCCTTG